CCCTGTCGGGCGGCAACTCGATCGCACGCGATATGCCTGGTTTGGCGGCGAGAACACTCGTAAAAGCTACAGCTTTAGCTCCGTCCAGGAGAAAAATGACGCTTAACCGAAGTGCCGCACGTCTGAGTCTATTCTTATGCTCGGTCTTTGAGCTACCGTCACGCGCTGATGATCGTTCTAGAGCATGATAAATGCCATAGCCATCTCGGCCTCTCTCACCCAGATAAGACATTCTCTCCATTCTTACCCTCGAATGTCTTAACGATCACTATGAGCGGCCTGGGCAGGAAGAGTTATCCGTCGTCGACTGTGGCGTCATGGACGCAGTCAACGCAGATATTTTCTGCTCTGGGTGCTCTAGCAGAGCATTTTTGAAGCTCGAAAACGTCTCTAGGCGCGCGCTTATCGCTTCAGGTCCCTCGGAAGCCAGGGGCTGCACGCCCTCAGGACCAAGCAGCGACATCAGCTTTTTAGGTCAGTCCGGCATGCCCCAGGACAAATAAGAGCATTCCGCCATTCCCACAAAAGATCCAGTCGTTACGACTTAGGAGTAGGTTGAGTGCAAGTGCTACCAAGTGCAACGGGGCTGCTGTTTCTCTTTGCTCTTTGCTCAGAGGAAGCGTACTAAGGTCACGGACCTTTTCTACACTAGAACCAGTATGAGTGCAGCGGATCGCAATCCGCTTACCCAAAACCTTAACCCAAGGCAAATTTATTTCTCCGTTATAAATTGAAAGCTGTATAATTGTTTTATTTGCGGCAGAGCCGCCTATATGTATTTTTTTAGGTTTATTAAACAAATTGTAAAACCTAATTAATTTGCATAACTACTGGCGGTCCCGCCACGTAGTGGCTTCTCGTTACGGTGTAGCCACACCATTGTTTGATTACACCGTCTTGTGTAATCCACGCCTTTGTACGGTCACACCATCTTGTGTGACCCACCCTTTCATACCAGTGTACGTGTGGCCCACCTTTTTATACCAGAGTACGTGTCACTCTGCTTTAGAACTAGCGGTATTGCTCTCATTGTGACGAGTACTTGATGTGTGATGGGTAACGGGAATTGCCTGTCCGTGTACATACACTTACTGTGAGGGGACTTGCTCACCCTCACCAAACCAGCAGCTTATTTTTGAGCAAAGAACTCATCGATATACTCACTTTG